ACCCACCCTGGCAGGTGATGGAGCTAACAGGCTAGCAGTGCTGGCCCCATTCACCGTTTTCCACCCCCCCCGGTGGCAAGGCCAGCACCGCTGGGCATGGGCCCATGACTCTGCAGGTGGCAGTGACAGAGTGGGTGGAGGGGGGGCTGGCCCTGTACCCCCTGCTCCCTGCAGGTTGGAAAACAGAGAGGATGGGTGGGCAAGGCCAGCACTGCTGGCCACATTCCCCTGGCCCTGCATGGCAATGGAGCGTACAGGGTGGGTGGGGCCAGCAGACATGGAGGGGGCAACCTGGGCTCAGCTCTGAAGTGGTGGGCAAGGAGGTGGGGAGCAGGCCTGGCCCTGAAGGTGGGGGTGGGGAGCAGGGCTGAATGTAGGCTGCTGTCCCCAGCCGCCTCCCCACAACACCCATCATTTTTGACAGGCAGTTGGCTAGTAACCTTATAATAGCACTTGCTATTTTGGTACGTTATTAATAGATGAATAAAATAAAAACAATCAAGGTAGCTTGACTGCTTTCATGTAGAAATGAGAGATGGAGAACAAATCAAGTATAGGAATCAGCTCTTTGAAGAAAGCTGTTAAAAATGCCAACAAGATGGTCCTTTAAAAAAAAATACAAACAACCCCCCCCTCCGACTATATACCAGTTCCTATTCATGTTGGAATACACTTACCTGCAAATGACTATATGGCAAAGAAGACCAATAGACTAATGTGAAGATATCAAGTCATCTTGTTAGGTCAAAAATAGATTGAGGGGTTTTTGAAACTTGAAGGATTAAAATGGTTTTAATTCACTTAATTTTCGTTAATAAAAAGTCTGTAATAAATGTGATCATGTACATTAGAATGTCTTTAAAAAAAATCAGTGCTTTGCTTTGAATCTCACTTCCAACAGAAATCTTGCTGACTGAAAACTGTTTCTAGTGGGTCTTTCTCAGGGGTGGGCAATTATTTCAGGCGGATGGCCGCTTACTGAGTTTTGTCAAGCCATCGAGGGCCACATGACAGGCAGCCAGGGGCAAATAAATAAATTTTCTAAATTATTTTAAGGGCCCTGCAGGCCGCATAGAATGGCCTGGTAGGATGCATTTTGCCCGCCCCTGGTCTATCTAAAGCCAAGATTTCTTATTGACAAGGCTAGGCATGATCAGTGAAAGACAATTGGAGGGATAGATTTAAGCAACAGAAAGCAACTACACTAATAACAGAGAGGGACACTAGCCACCTGCCCTGTCTCCTATTTGATTTGATTTATGGTCAGTGCCTACACAGTCAGATGGGTTGCAAATTGGCTGGAGGGCTGCACCCAGAGAGTGGTGGGGGATG